GCCAAATTCATTTCTATTCCTGGACTGTCAAAACTTCACTTAGCAACCATCTGCCAAGTTCAGATGCCTTCTGGGGCAGGGAGTTCAAAGTCCAAAGCATCCTGGATGGATCAGGTGGTGTGCAAAATGTAAAACAGATTGATGTTGGGAATTTCCACCTCACTTTTCTTCAACTACTCCTTTTAGGATTTCTGCCCAAGACCTTTATCAATCATCTGATGTAGCTTAATTCTCAAACTTAGAGAATAAAGTTGCCTTATTAAACTAATTCAAGATGAGAGATTGCTGGAAATAACTTAATTCTAGAGGAGATAACTGGAAATGGTCAATGCTAAGTATACAGGAATGAATCATAAATAACAGAATATCCAATACCAGGAGCAAGCCAATTCGAGAAATATATATTGAGTAGATTTCACACAGTTGACTGCTTAGTCTCCTATGCTTTATCCTAATCTTGATCCTTTTGGACATCCCTTGTGTTTCAGGAATAATAAAGGAGAAAATATTCAGTTTTGAATGATCAAAATTTTTTAGAATGAACAAAAATGCTTCTTTCTTCTCTTATTTTGAGCAATAGAGAAATAAACCAACAAATGGAGTTAAACTTTCTTGGATTTCATCCATGAAGCCTCCTGTGTATATCATTGAAAAAAATTAGTTTGGCTCTATGATTAGCTGGAGAAGTAGGCAAAGCACCAAAGTATCACAGAATATCAGAGCTTTTCCTGGAGAGCAGAGGCTGTCTTTATATTTCCCCAAAGTGCTTTATCCTGAGCAATGCTCAAAGAAATTTGCTGAACAGGTTATCTCAAGCATTATTTAGTAAAGCTTTCCACCCAGTGCTGGGTAGAAATGAATTCCTGCTACAACAAATAAAATTCTCTACTCAAGAATAAGTGTCTGGAAAATAATATTTTGCTCACCATTATCTGGAAAAATGACAATAGTAGGATTTAAAAAAAAAACTTTAAATAAAAATTTAAAAAATATACTGATTGGCCAGAACAACGGACCAAAGGTAATGGGATTAAATTGCAATGACAAGTAAAGTCCAGAATTTAGTATAAATAAATGAATATACACTATAGCCTATTCAAACAAGCAGATGATTACACCAAAGTACAGACTTGGAAGGCATGACACACCTCTTTATATATGACAGGCAAGCTTATGTAGAAGGGGCTAGATTTAATCTGTGTGGCTCCAGAAAGCAGAATAGGACCAATGTGTCAATGTCCTAAGAAAATCTATGAAAAAGGCTTTCTCATCATTAAAGCTGACCAGTGGAAGATACTGCTTGCATTCTATTATTATAGTCCACTTATTGATTCTATATGATAGAACATTCCCTTACTTAACTTTAAGATTATGCATGCATAATTCCATAATATGAGTGAAAGTTCAAATCCCATTCAAGTATCATAAATTATAATAACATTAATTGAACCTTTTTTTCCTTCCATTCAGCTGCTTTAGTATCATGCATTCTCAGACTTAATCCCTCCCCCAGCATTCCTGCTGACCGGACATTCCTAGTAATGGGGCTAAGTCATTGGTTTCCAAGGCAATGCATTCCATCTCTAAACTACTATGGCAATTAGAAAGTTTTTACCTACTGTGGTAGGCAGAATAGTGTGCCCCACCCTCCTCCCCAGCAAAGATTCCACGTCCTAATGCCCCAAACCTGCGAATATGTTACTTTATATGGCAAAAGAAACTTTACAGATCTGGTTAAGTTAAAGATATTTGAGAAGGAGAGATTATCCTGGATTATCCGTATGTGCCCAATATAACCATATGGTCCTTGTAAGAGGGAGACAAGAGTCTCAGAGTCAGAGAGATTAGAGATGCTACACCACTGGCTTTGAAGATAGAGGAAGGAGTCACAGGACAAGGAACATGGGCAGCCTTGAGATGCTGGGAAATGCAAGGAAACAGATTCTCCCTTGGAACATCCAGAAGAAACACACTCCTGCCAACACCTTCATTTCAGACCAGTAAGACCCTTCAGAACTATAAAATGATAATGTGTTGCTTCCAACCACTAAATTTGTGGTGATTTGTTACCGCAAGAGAAGAAAACTAATATATCTTTTATTGAACCTGAAAGGCTCTTCCCAAAGCTTCCAATCATTGGTCTCCTTTACATCTTAAAGCTCTTCAACTACTTGAAGACCAAAATCTTGTGTCATCAAAACATTCCTTCTCCTTTCTTCTCTCACTCTCTCTTTCTTTTTTTTTAAGAGTCTCACTCTGTCACCCAGACTGGAGTGCAGTGGCCCAATCGTAGCTCACTGTAACCTCAAACTCCTGTGCTCAAGTGATCCTCCCACCTCAGGCTCCTGTATAACTCGAACTACAGGTGCCTAGCATCACATCTTGGTAATTCTTTTTTATTTTTTGTAGAGACAGGGTCTTGCTGTGTTGCCCAGGCTAGTCTCAAGCTCCTGGCCTCAAGGCGATTCTCTCACCTCAGCCTCCCAAAGTGCTAGGATTACAGGTGTGAGCCACCACACCTGGCCTCCCAATTTTGCATCCTTAATTCCTTCATCCTTTTACCACGTGACTATGCTCCAATTTGATTCACTTTCCTATTTGCTGTATTCTGGAAAAGTCCCTTTTAGATCTGTGACTTAGAACCGAATTCTGTTATCCAAATGTCATCTGCAAGTTGACATTGGTATAAATCCTTGGTGGCAGCAAACTTTGCTGATGCATAGCACATTTAGTTCATCCTCTCATTGGCAAAACTTTGTAATATAATTTTTAAATCTTTTTTTATTTTTATTTTATTTTTTTTTATTTTTATTTTTTTGTTTTTATTTTTTATTTTTTTTTGAGACAAAGTCTCACTCTGTTGACCCGGCTAGAGTGCCGTGGCATCAGCCTAGCTCACAGCAACCTCAAACTCCTGGGCTTAAGCAATCCTTCTGCCTCAGCCTCCCTAGTAGCTGGGACTACAGGCATGCGCCACCATGCCCACTTAATTTTTTCTATATATTTTTAGTTGGCCAATTAATTTCTTTCTATTTTTAGTAGAGATGGGGGTCTCACTCTTGCTCAGGCTGGTTTTGAACTCCTGACCTTGAGCAATCCGCCCACCTCGGCCTCCCAGAGTGCTAGGATTACAGGCATGAGCCACCACGCCTGGCCTAAATCTTTTTTTATAATTATCTTTTTTCCATTTGTCTGTTTTCTCTTAATAAGATTTAGTTCACTTGGACTGTTTGCCTAATTTTCTTCTTTTGTCCCTTGCTTTCCAACTTCTTGTTCTGGTTTGTTTTGTTGGGGTATTTTGTTATTGTTATTCTGATACCTAAGAAATTTACTGTATTAGTTTGCTAAGGCTATCATAAAATATCACAGAATGGATGGTTTAAACAACACAAATTTATTTTCTCGGAGTTCCAGAGGCTGAAAGTCTACGACCAAGTGCCAGCAGAGTGGGTTTCTAAGTGTTCCTCCAGTCGGAGATGGCTGCTCTCTTCCTGCCCCTGTGAAGAGGCAGCAAGAGAGCAGTGAGCTCTTGGGTCAAGGGAAAGGGGCACATTAAAGAGATGAGTGATGAGCAGTAAGCTGTCACCATGGAGCACAGGGTGAAGTCATGGCGGACTTGCTTGTGACAGACAGTCCCCTGTGAGAGATGGCTTTTTCACATGGTCCAAAGAGATGAGAAGCTTCATGTTAGCATAAAACTCATGGTCCAGCCAGAAGATAGGAGGTGGGGGACTTGACAAGACAAAGACAGAGAGTGGACTTCCTGATGCCGCAACTGTAGGATGGGAAGCATCTTACTGCAAACTTTTTGAGGTGCCCCATCCAAGCCATCAAATGTTTAGCACTGCCACTTTGTCACTATTCTCTGCTTCCCTTGTGCAATATGAATAAAGGGAGACAGAAGAAAGAATTCATTGTGCATTGCAATTTAGTATAAAAATACTAAATCAGAGGGGGGAAAAATAAATTTTAAGAGACTGTTCCAAATCAAAGCTAGTCCACATAACCCGCAGTCAGTTGTAATAATATTTTGTATTTGTTAAATAAAAACTTTTCCACTTGACTGTTCAATTAATGTGCTTGGCAAACACTGATTCAGTCTCTAAACCCTTATCAGAACGGTGGCAGGAACTACTTCCTCCATCCCTTGAGGGGACTCAGTGGTAAAAACCTTGCCCAAATCAACAAGCCCCGGAGCAGAGGACAGCTCTATTTCCTCTGCCGCAGAGTGAAAAATGGGCCTTAAGCATCATCTACAGAGCAGAGCTGCCAAAATTCACCAAGAGAAAAAAAAAAAAAATAGTAAAGAAGTGGCTATCTTCAAGTCTTTTCTCATGAAGCCTGTCTATTTTGGAGAAAAAAGGAGGGATACAGAGCTCATCCTATCCAAATTCCTTTCTCAGGTACCCCACCAATACCTCCACTACCACCCCACATTCTTCAACCTAAAATTCCTTTAACCAGGAAAAAAAACTTTTGGTCCTATGATTAAAGATGTAGCTCAAAATGTTAATACCTGGAGATTAAAATTTATATCTATGTATCTGAAGATCCTTTCTTGACTGAGAGGAAAGGGAAAGTATGTCTTACTTGCATTTTAGTTTATTTTTTAAAAAACACAAAAGAGGCAAGGAAAAACCTGGAGGGCAAGAAGCTAGGAGCACTGAGAGAATGCTTGTTTTCAAATTTCAGCCACCTCACCATTTTGCTTGGGGCCCAGGCCAGCAAAAGGGGGGCTGTACTCATGCAGGTACTAAAGAGTTTGACAAACAACCGCTCAGAGTTCCTCGGAATCAGGAAACCAAACAGCCCTATGGCAATATTTTTATAGACCACACTTTTGCTTTATTCTTTTTATTGAGAGACAGGAAGGAGTTGGTTTTAAATAATAAAGTTTTATTTTTTAAGATAAACAGCTCACCTGCCCCCATATTCTAAAAAAGTAAAAATACAGATTATGAGATTTCAAAGAACATTTTGAACTAGGATGTGTGGTTTTTCTCTGTTAACAAGAGCTTTGCAAAGAGCTTACTTCACTAAAAAGCAATTTTAAGAGAATAGGGCCCTACTAGAATAAACTTATCAAAGATAGAGCTCTGAGAGCTTGCTTTGATTCCTGTAATCCCTATCAGAAAATATTCCTAATTACTGGATCAAAAGCATAATTACCATGCCTGTACATTACTACAGAGACTCGTGGTCCTATTCTAGCTCTGGCACTTACAAGCTGCATGAATTTTGCTCAACTTATTTATATTATTGGGGTTTTAGTCTTTCCTCATTTGTAAAGAGGAACACTAATACTTGTCTCCTAAAACTGTTGTAAGGATTTACTGAGATATTGTATGAAATGCACAATGACAGGCATTCAATAAACCATATATATCACTACTATTTATTAGACCACCCATTACCTTCAGTCCTCTAGAAACATGACAGTCTGATATTGGATCTGGGAAGGAAAGGCTTGGCCACAGGATTTTGAAAGTCAGTCCTGGTGGAGTCCCCTGTGAAGAGCTCTAAGCAACCAGGGCCAGCATGAAGGCACCGATGAAGAAGAGCAAGAGGCCAAATAAAAGGGTCCTGGAGACCCGCTCATAATATTTCTCAAAGCTGTCCCTGCTGTCATTCATTTGCTTAAATGTTCAGAGCAATATTTCAGAAATATGTCAAATACTCCTCTTAAAATAGTTTTGGTATGTTGGAGGAGCCTAAATATAGACTGTGAAGAAAGTTGGGGAGAAATCCAACTGACTTTTTGGTTCCTAACAACCCTTAAATTGTTCCTTTCCATAATCATGTAAAGAATGCTCATTCAAAGTCAATTTGAGTGCTGAGAACATTATCTATCTTCGACCCCAAAGAAATCCCAGGGGTCTTCCTTCCATCTCTTGCTAAGGCTAGACATTGCTTCCAAAACCAACAGACAAGGTGCCCTAGGACTCCAACTCACCAGGGTGCTCAGTGAGGAAAGCATGTCTGTGTCTCCATCCCACACAGAGAGAAGCAGACAAGTTACAGCAAGTCACTCACAAGACTGGTGCTTAGGGAAAACCAAAGGAAGGAAGACTTCTAATGTAGACACTGAAGAATTTAAGAGAACTGGTGGTTTTAAGGTAGGGTGGCTGATGAGGGGTATAAAACTTTGAAAACTTCCATTAAGGATCTGAAATTTCAATTTTTAGTGTGCATACAAATCAAGTTTGGAGACAGAAATTCCCAGAAAACTCAGACCCATCCACAACAGCCTTCAGGGCCTTTTTCTCCAGGTCCAGTCACTTGTTATATCTGTTTGTTCTTCTTTCATCAAGCCCCCAGCATCTACCCCTTTCTTGCCATGACCACTACACAAATTCAAGTCTCTACATCTCCCATTCTGCCTTAAAATCCTACCCCCTACTCTCTCTCACATCCAAATGTAACGTAGTCATTTCATAATACTCTTTCTTATTCCTTCTAGTCTCTCTCTCCTCCTCTTTAAAGGAAAAATCTTTCCAAAATTCTCCTATATGTGAAACTGGCAGGATTCTCAACTAGAGCACAAAATGTATTCACCCTAGAACGTCTGGAAGACTGCTTAGGTGGCCCAGAGGGGACAGGCAGGAGGGAGGTGGACCTGCGTGAGAAATTGAAAATAACTCTTGTAAAATAACTTATCCTCTTCAGAGAAGAGAGGCCCTCACATAAAATGCTTGACCTGATAATAAAGCTTTGGTGTTAGAAGGTAGGGCAGATTTTTTGAATGACACCAGTTAGTCAAATTTTCCTCAGGCCCAGGCCAGATGATGAAGTCCCCAAGGAGAAAGGTGGCTGAAAATACAAATGAAAAAGAAATAATATTAATACAAAGACAGAAAAGAGATTATCACCACATCAAGAAAGAACACAAAGTGGTTTGGGTGCACTATGGCCCCAGTGTTGGCAACAGCCCAATGAATGGCACTGGCACTTTAATGCCTAGCATCAGTGGTGACAAGGTAGAAGCTGGCAGTGGTAGGAGGGAATTTCCCATCGTCTTCCCAAAGCCACCAGAAGGTTCTTGGAACCTTTGCATTTGCTTTGCCAGGATCAGCAGTCCCAGGAGCAAATGGTCATCATGCACAGCCAAAGCAGCTAAGGACACAGCGAACTGTGTGTGCTGAGAACACTGTTCATGAGCATGTGTAAGGCGATCCTGGGGACTCTACAAATTTGGGAGGATTTCCTTGAAGGGGACTTGTAAGGCCCCACCTAAGATGGTAGAGACATTTATGCTCTTGTTGTGGTTCCCATTTTACCTCAGGCTGGGATGCCCTGAGAAAAAGTGTTATTTAATCATAAAACAGTTCACCAGGGAAGAGAAGTTAATATTTGTTAAATGTCTACGATATGTTAGGTACCGTGATATGTACATTTACATATATCTCCTTTAATCTTTGAAATAGCTCTACAAATTAGGTGCTTTTATCCCCCTTTTAATTAAAGGTGAAGGATCTGAGGTTCAGACTGGTTAAATTACTTGCTTTAGGATCATATAGCCCCAGTTCACCTGAATACAGAGCTCTTGCTTTCGTCAACACATTTGCACTTGTGTAGAAGAAACATCTTCCACAATGACTGCTACCAAATGGATAACATCAGAACAAGATTGATTCACTACAGTCTACATTAAGAATTGTGTCCTGAGTATGCTCTGTTAGTATCACAACTTATCATTAAATATAAACAAACCAAATTTAGGGACCCATTATGTTATTTTTACAGAAACATTTTAACTGCAGGAAGGAAAACAGAGCAAAAGAGAACACTTGGCAGATCCCAGTGACAGCTGTGAATCTTCTTATCTCTACCATCAGTGAAATTCTGGAAGGGATGTATTACAGCGACTGAGAATGAAATTAACTTGGCCTTGTGCCTATGCAAGCTTCTTGTCAGTGTTCTGCATCTAAAATTCTTGCGCCCATTGGAAACACAATCTGTTCTTTGGCATTAAGCATTCTTTGACCTTAGGTAAGTAAAATCCTGTTTAAGACAAGCACACATTTCAGTAATCCCAGGATCTACCTCTAAGCTCTAAGATGCATTGTCACAATAACACTCCTGAAGTCAATGAAACTTTGTTTCTTTCTGTAAAGTGTACATAGAAAGATTGTGTGTGTGTGTGTGTGTGTGTGTGTGTGTGTGTGTGTGTGTGTGTGTGTGTGTTAGTGGTAGAAAAGAAGGTGCAAAGGTTAAAGAAAGTGATGTTAGTTCCTCAGATGTCACACAGGCATCTCAAATTTGACATAGGCAAAGATAAACTCCCCATCTCATCTCCCTAGTCTTGCTCCTCTTCAAGGGTGTCCTGTCCCAATAAAGGGCTCTAACATCTACCCAGTTGCCCAAGACTGAAAGCAAGCATCAAAAGTGGCTTCTCCCTCCCTTTCCACTCACATCTAGTCAATCATTAAGTCCTTTTGTTCCTATCTTCTGATTATTTCTTAATCCTTCCCTTTCACTTGATCTACACATAAACTACCTAAATTAAAGTCACCATTATCTCTTCCTTGATTTGCAGAAAAAATTTCCAACTGGTCTCTTTTCAGCCCATAATTTTTTCCCATTAAACCATTCTCCAAAGTAAGTCAAGGGGAGTCTCTCTTTTTTTTTTTTTTTTTGAGACAGAGTCTCACTTTGTTGCCCATGCTAGAGTGAGTGCCGTGGCGTCAGCCTAGCTCACAGCAATCTCAGACTCCTGGGCTTAAGCAATCCTCCTGCCTCAGCCTCCCAAGTAGCTGGGACTACAGGCATGCACCATTATGCCTAACAAAGGGAGTCTCTTTATTTTTATTTTAAATAATTGTAAAATATACATAACATAAAAGTACCATCTTACCTGTTTTCAAGGGTGCATTTCAGTAGCATTAAGTATGTTCACACTGTTGTGCCACAAAACCACTATCCATCCATAGAACTCTTTTCATCTTGCAAAACTGAAATTCTGTACCCATTAAGCAATAACTCCCCATCTCTCACTACCCACTCCCCATCCCATGAAAACCATCAATCTATTCTCTGTCTCTATGACTTTGACTATTCTAAGTACCTCACATGAATGGACAGTATTTGTTGTTTCATGACTGGCCTCTTTCACTTAGCATAATGTCCTCAAGGTTCATCCATGTTATAGCATGTGTCAGAATGTCCATCCTTTTTAAAGGCTGAATAATATTACATTGTATGTATATATCACATTTTGTTTGTACATTGATCCATTGATGGACATTTGGGTTGCTCTCATTGTGGTTTTGTTGTTTTTGATTTGTACTTCCCTAATGATTAGTAAGGTTTAAATTTATTCACTATTTCTGTCTTCTTCCTGAACTTCCTTATCTTTAAGAAACTTAGCATGTTTTTGAGTTCCTCAATATTTCTCCCTCACACTGACCATGGAATTCTCACTGAAATTTTAGTTTCAACTTATTATTTTTCCCCATTGTTATTTTAAAAATCAATTAATATTTTAATTTGCAGGTGTTTTGTCACCTTCTTTGCTTACCCTTACTTCTTGCTGAAATATATACTTTAGAAGTTCTTTCAGGAAGGGCATGTGTGTAACATCTTCGTAGTCCAAAAATATCCTTAACACTAATTCCTGATGCATAATTTAGAATAATGAATATTTCTATATTAAAATATTTTCCTCAGAGTTTTTTAGATATTACCCTGTTTTATGGTATCTAATATTGTTAATGAGAAATATGACATTATTTTAATGCTTGTTCTTTTAGTTTAAATTATATATAGACTCTGGCAGAATTTAGAGTGTTCCCATTATATTTAATGTTCCAAAGTGTTAACCATAATGTCTAGATACTGGTTTTTTTGTCTTATTACTTCATGAAATTTTTTTTCAACCCAAGAGTTCATATCTGTCCTTCCTTCTGGGAAATTCTCATTCACATATTGGACGTTCAAAATTATCTCCTATGTATTTTATGAAATGTTTTTTGGATCCTCTGACTCCATTCTCACTCTCTCTTAAATTCCCTTTGATATTTCTCTTTTCTGTTTCTTCATGCTACATTTTAAGTGACTCTTCATGTTGATCTTCAAGTTTAATAATTTATTCTTCAGCTTATTTTACAGTTGTCATTTCCTACCGTGTTTCTTGGTTAATAATATAAATATTTATTTTAAAGCCATTTCTTTGTTCCTGTATTAGCTGTGACTCCTCAAGTATCAGTTATCCCACTTATAGTGTTTGTTGTGTATCTTCTGCCGTGTTGCTCTTCCTCAAATACTTTATAATTCTTCTCTGTATGCTCTTCTTTTACAGGCTTCTCCTACATGCATTCTGGGTCATGACAATCTCCTGATGGGTGGTCCTGCAGTGGCCTATCCCCAGCCCTGCATCAGGGACAGCACCAGACCAGGCCTGGGCCAGGTGCACAAAGGATTGCATCATTTTCAGACCCTGTTCCTGTGTGGCAGAGGAACCCAAAGACTTTGAGAGCAGCTGGCCCCTCACAGCTCCCAGGCATGAGCATATGGCATAGTGACATCCCTGCCCCCAGTGTTGAAAGGCTCTGGTCCCACAGTCCCAGTCCCCTAGGAGCCCAGTGGCTTTTGGCCCTTAATACTACTATGTATTCTTCTCTACTCCCCTTCCCCTCTTTTTGGGGCAAACTTCTGGATTTCTGATTTGTGGATAACTTTCTGATTATTGTGGATAACTTTCTGATTATAACTTTCTGATTTCTATGCCCTTTTCTTATTTTCAAGCATGAAAATGTACTTGATAATACAATTATAATACACTGATATCATTTCTCTATGATAAGTGAAAGGATGAAGTTTCTGCCTGTGTTCAATTTCCCATCTTCAGGTAGAAGGAGTGCCCAGTCCAAACATAAATATGACTGCCTTCTTCAGCATAAATCCATTCACTGCTCCCACATACTTTTTGGATAAATCCAATGACTTATTATGGCTTCAAAGATTGTGTGGTCTGACTTTTTCCAACCTCTTCAGACTCATCCCTCACTGTTTCCTAACTTACAGTCTAAGACCCAGCCATGAACTTTATCTCCAGACTTCTTCACGCACTGTTCACTCTGCATGGAACACTTTTCTTCATCCATTTTTGCATTCATCCTTTAGGTCACAACAAACCTAGGAGTCAATTCCTCCAGGAAGCTTTCCATGACTTACAAAAATCAGATTAGGTGTCCATCATATACCTGACATAGTTTCTCCACTTCAGCCCTGACCACATTCTACTTGATAGCCAAGTTACATGACTGTTACCACTTCTGGACTGCTCTATGACGGCTGGGGCCATTTGTGCCTCAATGACCAGCACAGCGGCTAGCTCACAGTAGGAGCTCGGAATATTTTATTGAATGCAGCATGCACACAGCCAAAAAAGGAAGGGAGGGAAGGAGTTAGGAAAAACATTGGGAAGAACTGAAGGGGGAAAAGATCCAGAAGCTCAAGAATGTCTCAGGCTATAGACTTTATTAATGAAAATCTGACTTTTTTAGTCTAAAGACTTTGCAAACCCTCTGTCATTGTTTTATCTGAACCACTCCCTCTTGCTCACTCCCAGTTTTCAAAGAGTATACTTCTTTCTACCTGTGCTTCCCTACTATATTAGTTTTCTAGGGCTGCCATAACAAAGTTCCACAAACTGGGTGGTTTAAACAATAGAAATTTATTTTTTGCAGTTCTAGAGGCTTGAAGTCCAAGATCAAGGTGTCAGCAGGATTGGATCCTTCTGAGGGCTGTGCCTCTTGCCTACCTTCTGGGGGTCTTGGACACTGCTTGGCTTGTAGACGGTGGTCTCCCTGTATCCTCACATCACCTTTCCTGTATGCCTCTGCCTCTTCACATGGCATTTTTTAAAATAAGGACACCAGTCATATTGGATTAGAAGCCGACCCTATCCCAATATGAGTTCATCTTCACTAATTATATCTGCAATGACCCTGTTTCTAAATAAGGTCACATTCTCAAGTACTGGGGGTTAGGACTTCAGCAGATGAATGGGGGGGACACAATTGAATACATAACACTGATCAAGATTTTGTAGACAGTGTTACTATAGCATTGCCTTTAGATTCATCTCAACCAATTTTTTTTTAAATGCCTTATGCTAAAATTATCTAAAGAGGGAAAGTTCCAACCCTTTTGTTATTAAAATTACCTTCAACAGAAACAATTTTGATGACACATGAAAGAGTAACTTCAACATACTTGCTTCTTGCAAAGTTGCTGTCTGCAAGGGTAACAATGGGGATATAAACCCCTGGTGATGTGCTCTATTACTAATCCAATGAGAAATCTTGATAAAATGAGTTTTATTTATCTGAATGCTAAAGAAAGAACTACTTTTAAGGATAGTTTCCTTTGCAAATAACAACCATTTAAGTCTTTATGTCAGGAGCTATTTATTCTCTAGAAATAGGTTTTGTCAAATAAGTGAAAAAAGTTACTTTCAACTAGAACATTTTAGAATTCAATTACAGTGCCCTCAATTTTTAAGTCAGTAATGTACTTTGTTACAGATCTTGGCTTTTCAGCTACTGTTATTCTATAACACTGTCAACCAAAGTGAACATTTCACTTAACTATTAGTAATTTTTCAGCAATAATAGAGATACAAATTTGCCTAAGGAGGTGGTCTTTTGTTTAACTGCTAATGTATAGAGTACTTATGCTGATAGTCCAAAAAAGAATCATCATTCAAGATTCAAAGGTATCAAACCTAGGAGAGACCAGTTGGATTCAAAAATAATAATAATTTTCATTCTCTTTCATTTCTTTCAATAATAATTTTCATTTCAGGTTGGAGATTGCTTTTAAAAAATAATAATAATAATAATCTAAGAATTTAGTGCAGGATCTAGGTGAATTCAAAGTATCATATCACCTCCCTTTTTCTGTTCCTCTTGGCCTGCCCTAGTCTTAATTTGACCTACCTAACCCGTGACTCCTGAGTATATGCCATGACCCCATATCAGACTTCACCTACCACCACGAGGACCAGCTCCTAGCAAGATCTCTAACCTCCTCTTTCTAAGTCAGATCTCAGGCAAGCATCAAAAAATGTATTCAAATTAACATGTAATAAAGTACTGATAACTGAAATATATTTTAAAAGAGACCCACATCTAAATCAAAGCAGAGAAGAAGTCTCTCTTGGAATTTTAAATCAAGGGAGAGGTAGTTTGGAGGGCTGGATTTACCAAAAATCCTGAAAGTCATCCACTTTTTCTACATGTAAGGTTAAAACATACCTGTGTTCAAGGGAATTCCCTCCACCTGCTTCAGATATATGGCCCGGAAAATGATTATTTGGGTTCAGAAGACAGGAGCACCAGGCTCATCACTCCTGAAAGAGAAAAAGCTCAGTTTACTTGGTAGCTTTTTATTTATATAATAACTATAAAATGTGGTCAATGAAACATATAATAAAATATATAATGGGAGTAAGGAGTTCAATTAATGCTACTTCCTCAAAAAGGAAAATGTTATTAACAGGGAAGAGGAGAACAGAATTCAAATAACTCCAATCACCCAACAAAGAAATTAGCTGCAACCTGAACAGGGAGTGGTCCAATTTGACTAACCTAGGTCAGGTGATTTTAAAAAGGTTGAGGACACAACCAGATAATAGTTCTGATGGGATACTCCACTGCCTAGGAATTTGTCTTGTTGAGACTACACACACACAAAAATCCAATTTATAGCAAAAACAGGGTTTGAAGGAACATATTAAATGAAACCATGGGGACCAATTCAGCAAAATCTATGAGATCTGTGCAGAAAGTATCCAGCCATAGTTAATGTAGGGAGAATGGTTTGTGTGACACTGATATAACTTGGCAGCCAAGGACAGTGGACTGGAATGCAGATGCATGAACAATAACGCCTTCATTGTACTAGTCGCCACTGAGTGAGCATGTGTACTATGTGGCTGTCACATTCAAAATGACTGAGCAAGTAGAGCAAGGAATCTGCATCAAATTTTGCATTAAGTTTGAACATTCTTGCACAGAAACTATTCGGATGATTCAGAAGGCTTTCAGGGACAATGCAATGAGTGCAGCACAAATAAAAGCATGGCATGAATGCTTCAAAGATTGTTGAGAATCTGTTGAAAGTGATCCATGTTCTGGAAGGCCTGCAACAAGCAGAACACCTGAGAATGTTGAACGTGTACGGGTTAGGTTAAGAGATGCTGGGAGAACCGTGTGAGGTCCCAAGGTGGCTACTTCAAAGGGGACTGAGGCTTCATTGTCCTATGTACAATGTTTCTTGTATTTTGTATCTTCTTCAATAGATGTCTTTATTTTTCATATTATATGGCTGGATACTTTCTGGACAGACCTCATATACTGGGAAACTGTATAGAACAAACAACCCAGTTTTTTTAACAAATAAATGTCAAGAAAAAAGTAAAAGATGGGGGAAAAAACATAGGTTCAAAGAGACTTAATATCAACCAATCATGAAAATCTTATATGGATACAGATTTAAACAAACTAAAAAAAATATGTATGTAAGACCATTTAAAATTTGGACACTGCCTAAATATTCAATGATATTAAGAAATTATTATTAATTTTAGGTGAGCTAATGGCAGTGTGAGTCTTTTTATTTTAAGGCCTTACCTTCTAGAGGCATGTGAATGACCCAAGTGGGCTATAAAATGACACAGTGTCTGGCATTTGCTACTAAATATTAAACAGGGTAGAAGCCAATGAGTGTAAATATAGGTAAAAGAAGATTGGTCAAGAATTAATAATTGTTGGCCAGGTGCAGTGGCTCACACCTGTAATCACAACACTTTGAGAGGCTGAGGCATGAGGATTGCTTGAGCCCAGGAATAAGAGACCAGGCTAGGCAACAGAGCAAGACCCCATCTCTATAAAAAAAATTTTTTAATTAGCCAGGCAGAGCCTGTAGTCCTAACTACTTGGGGAGGGCTGAGGCAGGAGGATCACTTGAGCCCACAAGTTCAAGGCTGCAGCGAGCTATGATCGCACAACTACATTCTAGCCTGGGTAACAGAGAGAGATCCTCTCTCAAAAAAAAAAAAAAAAGAGGCCAGGCACGGTGGCTCACGCCTGTAATCCTAGCACTCTGGGAGGCCGAGGTGGGCGGATCCCTTGAGGTCAGGAGTTTGAAACCAACCTGAGCAAGAGCGAGACCCCATCTCTACTATAAACAGAAACAAATTAATTGGCCAACTAAAAACATATATAGAAAAAATTAGCCGGGCATGGTGGCACATGCCTGTACTCCCAGCTACTCGGGAGGCTGAGGCAGCAGGATTGCTTGAGCCCAGGAGTTTGAGGTTGCTGTGAGCTAGGCTGACGCCACGGCACTCACTCTAGCCTGGGCAACAAAGTGAGACTCTATCTCAAAAAAAAAAAAAATAGAATTAATAATTGTCAGATCTATTTAAGAGCATATTACACATCTCTGGGTCCTTTGTGCATGCTTAAAATTTTCCAACAAAAAGAGGTTAAGGCTGGTCTGAAGGTAGTGAGTTATTCCACTTGATTGTTCGCAGTCACAGATTGAATTCCCTGTTCTACTACTTTCCCCCTTCTCACTACCGCACTTGACTTGCCTTAAAAAAGGGGGGGAAGTTAAAATATTGAAAGAATTTACCATGAAGTTTTGGAGAGGAAAAAGAAAAAAGAAACCTGAAATATTAATAGATACAGGCCACAGGTGATGCACTTGGTGTCAAAACCAAATGACAGTTGAAAAGTTTAGGGTTGGGGGTTCCCCTTGATACAACAGAGACTACATGATTCATCTAAGCCTATTCATCTGTGATTTTGAAAGAATCATTCTGTAAACTAGTCTTGAACCTGCATTGCAGTCTAAAATTCTAAACCTAATTACCTCAGTCCATATGAGATGGTAGATCTTCTCCTTAGTTAGGTAAGTAGATTTTCACCTCTAAGAAGGTACAGAAATAACTAAGGCAATTATTACATACTGCCTATAGTTTTATGTGCTCTGGATTGTGGAAGAGATTTTGTTAATCATCAGAATAATCTAGGAGCACTTGTTATTCCATTTTAACCAGTCTGATATATAATCCCTTTGATTTCAATTAGAAATTTATGATTGATATTTGATTTGAGATTTTAATCAAAAAATATAGAATCCTTTGATTTGTTTCTGAATGGCATTTGAAAGCTGAGAACCTGATTTACTAGAGTTGTAAGTTGTTTTATTAGATATACAAGAGTAGCTTAAGAACTTGGAGAGATGATACCATGAAAGACATTTGTAGTGTTTGAGAAAATCAAGACATTTCTGTTCTTTTTTTAATGTTAAGGGAATTCAACTTACTAACTTTTTAATGGGGTCAAGTATTTAATTAATCTATAATCAAAAAACAAGCAGATACAATTGTTCTTTTTATAGAAAATTTGTTAAATTTATAAATAGAATATAGATGTGAAGGTTGAACTTAAAAGCTTAAGAAAAAAAAGTTTTTTAATTGAAAACTTTAATAAATTCAACACTAATTTAAGATACAAGTAACCAGAAATAGTTTTTTCCAAACACAAATGCCTCTCCCAGAAACTAAAAAATTTAAATGACACTGTTATTATAACTTCACTCAGAATCAGAATAGACCATCTTAAAAATACTCCTTGTTAGCAAAGAAAGGGCAAAGAGGGATATGTTAGACTTCGATCTTCATGAAGTTGGGTCTCTATGAGATCACAACAAGCAAAGAAGAGAATAAAAGATATATTTAGATTCAATTTTCTTATATGAATAATGTGAAGTAATTGGACTAATTCGTTTATAATTTTCAGGATTAGGCTGGCAAATGAAACGAGTAGATTAGCATTTTCAAATGCAAGTAAAGATCCACTAGTGGTTTGTGAAATAAATGTAGTGATTCACTATGTCACATAACAAGGTGGAATACCGTTTCATAAAACTTCCATTTCGGTTGAGTTTACTAGGTAGCTATATATGTATTTGTTATTGCAGATGATGTTCAAAACAGTTTGCAAGCCATGGCTATCAATTTCTAGGCTTGTTTTAAAGCCATAGCACTTTTTCCAAAGTGTAAATGTGTTATTTTTTCTAATTAGAAATATAAAACACATGTTTCTAGTTGTTCCATTACAGAAATATATTTTAAAAGTTTTTAAATTACCTATGATCTCATCACTCATTTTGTTGTATAGAAAGGGTAGACATTTGTATCCACCAAAATTTCTCTTAAAGAATTGTATATGGGGGAATAAAATACTCGAGATCAAAGCTGAAATCTTGAGAGGCCCTGAATTGAGTAAACCCATTCTGTGTGAGACAAGGGAAGGAAATTTTCTGTTGCTCAGAGTAATGAGAGGAATTTAAGAACAAGATGAGAGTGAAGCCATTTATTTGGTAGAGGGTGTGTGTTCGCCAATGTGACCTTTTCCCCAGGACTCCGTTGGTCACTCTAATAAAATTACTAAACCCATGAAATGTTTGGGTATAAGAGAATTTTTACAGGAACTGATGAAATTTTGAATGCCATGGCATTGAACATGAATATGATAGCTCGTAAAAAGGTAGGAATGTTAAAACAGAAAGAAGCGTAAGAAAAGTATCCCCAACAATGAACAAACATTTTGAGAAAGCATCTGACTCTTTCAAGACCAAGATATTGGATTTCAGGTCAAGTTTAATCATATCATTGAGGAGGAGGGGGTTTGTAGTACCACAGACTTCCAAAACTGGTGTGTCGGTATGTGCATAAAATATGCATGTACATATATCCGCTGTTTACCAAAGAGGAATAATTCTGCATGTGACTTTGTTATCTGCCTTCTTTGCTTCTCATTTTTTGTGTCATAAAATACAGGTTTCTGTATGAATAAATAACTTCTAATATGTTCACATAGTGAAATATTTACAGCTATTCCTATCAACAAGGATGAATCTTAAAAACATGGATGTCACCTCTCTAGATGTTCAGAAAAAAAAAAAAAAAACATGGATGGGTGGCTCTGTGAGCAAAGGAGGAGCGCCTAGGGTGGAGGCGGCTCAAAACCACTTGTGGTGTGTTGGGTGACCTCATAAACACGACCTCTGCACCATGGAACTCAGCCAGCAGGGTGAGGCAGGCAGTCAGTGCGGCCAGAAACAAGCAGAAGTCAGGGTAGACGATATGTTGCAAAATGGGAGGCATCTCTGAGGAGGCGACATGTTAGCTTAGACTGAGTGGAAGGGAGCGACTTGCAGAGGGAACAGCAGATACAAAGGTGCAGAAGCACATTGGAAGAAGGGAAAGGAGGCCAGTGGGGTGAGTGAGGCAGCTTGCAGGCCAGGGTCCAGGGAGGTAGAATTCAGCCCTTGCAT